CAGATATTTGAATTAACTATATACTCTATTGCAGTTTGTGCAAAGCGATGCTGATGAAGAACTATTGTTTAATATACCATTTACCGGCAACATTAAGCTAAAGGGCATAATCATTCGAGGCGCCAATGATAACTCACATCCCAATAAGGTCAAACTGTGAGTATATATATGTTGCATTCAATTAGTCGTGCTATTTCAAAATTTATTGCCGGTCAGCTTTAAGAATCGACCAAAGATGACGTTCGATAATGCACGTGGCAAAGCGGATCAGGAGTTCGAGCTGTCGCGCGATTTTCGCGGAGAAGTCGAATACTCACCCAAGTAGGTGGCTGCCCATAAACCCTTATATTATTTATAATACCTGCAATCATATCTCTTCCAGAGTTGTGACCTTTTCCTCGGTGCATCATTTGTCGCTGTATTTTCCCAGCAATTTTGGCGATGACAACACGCGCATCTATTATATTGGTTGGTTTTGCATCGGCCAGCATATGGATAGATAAATAATTTGTTTTACTTTTTAGGTCTTCGCGGCGAGTTCACGGAGGCACATTATCACGGCGTCACCATTTGCAACTACGAGGCACGTGCCAATGCCGCCGATCACAAGGACAAAGTCTTTGATGGCGTCGGACGAGCTATACAATAAAAGAGATTCAAATATCTATTAAGTAGAGTATTGAGAACTGAAATGGGGCACATAATTTTTGTAATACTTACACTGTGCTGGAAATTAAACTCGTACAGATTCCAAAAATTGGGATGTTTCTTTAATTTATTCTTTATTGTTATCTTATTGATTTATGCTTATAAGATGAGATATCGAATCACGTGTGTCAATGTCAATGCATAACGCTTTTTATTACTCAATAGTGTTTCATTTTCCATTTTCTTTTTTTATTGTTTTTCATTCTGTATTTTTAATAAATTGTTTATATGTATTTTACAAAGCGTTTACTTAAATGTATTGTAATTTTACATTTATTACCGAATAATTTGTTATTGCACTAGTTTTTTTTTGTTTGTTTTGTTTCTGTTTTTTAAATATTCTTTTCTCCACTTGCTCATTTATTGTAGTTGACATTTTTTTCGTTAAAGTATGCTTTTCGCTTATGTACTTTGATATCTAATACATAGATGATAGAGACATACACCATGTGTTCCATTTGGGTAAAAACTTTCGTGTTTTATGGTATTCTTTATTTAGCTGAAACACATTGTGCATATACAAATGCAGTTAGGAGAAAACTAAAGTTATTCAAATGAATGCTTGAAATTCTTTTCTTTTTCTTTTTTTTTTTTTTTAGATAAAATTAGTTAATATATATTTACAAATCGTATGCGCATACAAAAATCGCATTTATAGGCTGAAAAATATGTGATATATTTTTAATTAGAAATTGTTGCTGCTGTAGTTTGAGGGCATGGTTGTGGGGAAGGGGGGGTATTGGAGAAGGGGGAGTTTGGTAAAGCATACTTCGGTGACCAATTTGTGCGGTTCTTTAGCTAGATATACATACATACATGTTCATATATTTAGTTGAGGATTTGTATATATATAAATATGTATATATTTGATTTCATGTTCTGTTCTGTGTGTGTGTGTGTGTGTGTGTGTGTGTTTGTTTGAGAGTGGAATTTAAAAAAAATGTTTTCTCTTAGTATTTGATTCCTGGTATTTTGTTTAGTTTTTATTTATTTTTTGTTGTTGCTTAACGTGTGTCTTTTTGTTCAACAAAATTTGTGCTCTCGTTCCATAGTTGCAGTTAGGGTTTTTATATATATATATATGTCTATATATATATATAATGTATAATATATATATATGACTTTAAGTACGATTTTTGCAACAAATCAATATCTGTTCTCTTTAAAAAATACGTTACACTCAAATGGCGTGTACTCGACTTTTAGCTGATACCCCAAAAAATCGTCCAGTTTTTGGTTTTTAGCTTTTTTCTTGTTTCATTTCAAAGAGTTTACGTTTAGTATAAAAAATCATTATATCGAAAGTATAAAAATCGTATTAAGCCTTTCATTTTATTTTGTATTCTTATTTTTTGTTTAATATTAAATTTTTTCATTTAGTTTTGGTTGTTTTTCTTTCGTTTGTTTTTCTTTAGCAAAAGCGGGTGTATCTTCATCAAGCAGGTATTCAAATGTTACTTGGCAGGATTATTATTATTTTTTTTTTGTTTAATTTTTTTTTTGTTTTTATATATATATTTTTAAATAGTTTTATAAAAGCTTCGTGTTGTTTTTATTAGTTTTTTTGTTTTTGTTGTTGTTGTTGTGGATGTTGTGTTGTGTGTTTTTTTGTGTTGTTGCAGAGGCCTGTTTCAGTTGTTTGCTTTTATTTATTTATATATATATGTGTTTTTTTTTTGGATTTTTGTTGTTTTTGAAAAGTAGTTGTTGCACTTTTATCGTTAATATGTGTGTTGTTTGTTATTAATTTAATTGATTTATGCTTATAGAACTGACATTAGGCGACATTGACTTAGCTGGCTAGTTAATTAATAAATTTGTTTCAATACAAGTTTGTATCTACAATGGAATTTATCAATGATAATGATATCAAAATAATTACCATTAATACATGTATCTATATAATGTATTTGTAATTAAATTATTTAAAGCTTTTTCGTGTGTATGTGTGTTTGTGTTTTTCATTTGGTTTTTTAACAGTTTGTTATGTTTTTTCTTTTTAAGAGACCAACTGATAAACATTCGAATATTGCAATTGTTTAAATAAACAACAAATGTTCGTTTCGTTCTGGCCAAAAAACAAGAACAACTCAACGTGTTTACATTAAAAATGTATTTACAATTGAATAATTTGTCTACTTATGCACATAGATTTACTATTCAATTTGATAAATATTATTTAGTTCCCATTATTATCTGTTTTTTTTAACTACACGTTCCTACAAAATGCTCGCTAAATTTGCTTTTCATCTATATGCACTTACACCTCAGATTTATCAATGTCGTTAATACAATTGAATTGCCATGAATATTGCTAGATACAGCCCCGTCCCGTCGCTCTCCCAAAAAGATACAAAAATCTATAAAAGAGTTAAAGGAAAATCGTTCGAAATAATCATATCGAATATTGTTTGTATACAAATCAAAAGATCTGTTGAAACTGCGGCAAAGCTCGGGGCGGGGCCAGACATGTGCCTCGTCTTATTGTTTAACAAGTTTTCATCAGTTTAATTGCTTATTTGCTTTAACTAGCATTTGTTCGGCTTGTTTTCCTTTCTTTTCCGTATTTTGCCATTATGCACTAAATTTTGCGTTGCGCTACTTTATTTTATAAGAATTTGTTATTATTTATATTTGCTTTTGTTATTTTTTTTATGGTATTAGTTTAAATATCTACGGCTAAGTTATGTAATTATTTTATTTGTGGTTTTAATTTATTCAAATCATCATCACATATCAAAAAGTTTACAAAAATTTTACCTTAACATTTCTTTAGCTACATTTCATTTGCATGTATTTCGCTTTTGCTGCTTATTTATTTATTGTTATTATTATTATTTATTTTTCGTGCGCTTCAGAATAAAACATACAACAATAGATATTATTTGTCTATCTTTGTGTCTTTTAAGTATTTTCTTTTGCTAATTTTTTTACCCACTTAACAATAGTTGTTCTCAGTTATTTTCAACAATTAATTGCGTTCCGAGTTTCACATTCAACAAACATGTGACAATTTCTTTTTCTTTGTTTTTTTTTTTTGTAATTATTTGAACTGAACGCCTACCAAGTCCGATTATAATTTATTGTTAATAAACATTAGTTTATGTATATAGTTTGTTTTTCATTTCGTTAGTGTACGTGTGGGCATGTAAAAGGCATTTGTTTGGTTTCTTTTGTGTTTTTGTTATTTGTTATTCATTTTTATACTCGTATCGTTTATAATCATTTAAGATTTTTAGTGTTTTTTTTTTTGTTTGGTTTTGTATATTATATGTTTGTTTTTTGGAAGAACTGAGCTGAAAAACCTGAAATTACATTCACTATTTGCTAGCATTCCAATAATGTCAGCATATGATATGCCCAATTAAAATTTAAGGCTGTATTTTGTGTAAAAACTCAGAGAACTAACTTGAAAAATAAATTTTGAATTTTCATTGTGCTCCAAACGGATTTTGTTCAACTAAAGCGCGTGTATTCATTTAAGCTTAGTGATATTATGTCTATGTTATGTTATTTGTTATTAATTAATGGAATAGGTTAGCTTACATTTTGTTTCTTTCCCAGTTTTACGAACCAAATTGACCAAATTCTACACATGGTTTACAGAAGTTTTAATAACTAATATTGCTTCTTTTCCTTTCTTTCTTTTGGGCTCACAATTGATGAGAAAACAAAACTTTAAGCAGTCGCTGCTTGTGCTCGAACAATTCCAGTTTTTTCTTTTTTGGTTAATATGCTTAAAAATTAAATTAACAAAAACAAATGTTATTATTAAAAAAATTCGACTATTTTCCGATTTGCACTTTTGAGTAAATTCCACAATAAAAACTGTAGCATACTTTTTGGAGCAGCTGCTGCCACAAGAAGTATGCAAGAGAAATCTTTTCGAAATTGTGACGAAAGCGTAAATTGGAACATAGTTTGTTATTTTCTTTTAGTGTTAATTGCTGTAACAATTGCATTTGTTGCTATTTTGGTTTTTTTTAATAAAATCGCTGCATAACTTGACTATAAAACGCACACGCAGCTGAACTGTGGTTGATAAATGTAACTGAAAATCACGTTCCGATAAACACTTTCGCCACAATTTCACTTTTCGAGCAGCATATACTTTGGTTTTACCACAAATTGATTTTAGCTTGCTCAAAATATTTTGCTGGCATTTAAGGCGTAGGCGAAATTCGGAACATGCTTATTAAATTAATTCTGTCTTTATTCTTGGAGTTTTGCATTTGACAGACAAAGCGGACAACATGATTTGCCTCGTTTCAGTTTACATAGTTAGTTAGTAATTAATTTTGTGTTATTTTATTATTTATTAAACAACTTACTATACAAGCTCTCACTGTCTCCTCCGTTTCGCACAATCGCCGGCGTTTAGTTTTGCGCTTTTTGTTAACAATTTGTTTTTTTGTATTTTATTTGATTGAAACAATTCAATTGCCGTTTAATTAATATGACCTATGCGTTAAATTTGCTCTTCATTTCATTATTTATACAACATATCCAAATGGTTTGTTTTCTATTGAGTTTTAAGTCTATCAAAATGTACTTACTCTTTTCTCTGGTTGTGTATTGCAAAAATGTGCGAATGGTTGTGTGTGTGTGGGTGTGTATAAAAAATTGTACATGTTTTCTGCTTATTGTTGTTGTTTGGAAAATGATTATTGGGCGAAGTTTGTGTATTGACTGTCTTCGAAATGGAATCTCTTGTTGATATCGCAAATGAAACAGCGCAGCTGCCTTTTAGCCAGTTTTTATATTCGCTTTCACTTTTGGATCCACTGTCAGACGGGATGGCCGTGCTTCTCGGGATTGGACCGCTTGGCGGCAGCTGCCGCGCCCAAACGCCTGGCACGCCAGCGATCGATGGGCGTGTAGCAGCATATGAAAAGCGGCGGCAAATGCGGCGAGCCGCCTGAACTGGCCCCGCTGCTGCTGCTGCCGTTGCTAAGCTGCGCCAGCGACTCAACGGTCAGCTCAGTCTGGACGCCGCTGCTGGTCATGCGGACCTCGGCCTGATACGGCGGCGGTGAGCCCGCATCCAGCCTGGCTGGCGCCGCCGCCTTGCATATAACGCTCGACGGCTGCAGCTCGTGCAGCTCGAAGCTGTCGGAGCGCACGCTCGCCGGCGGCGTGGCGGTCGAGGGCCGGAACTCGTGCGAGCTGCTCTCGACCATGGCAGTGCGATAGGTAGCGGCAAAATAGTTTGTCTCCAAATAGTGGCACGATTCGAATAAATAATCATCGAATTGCAGCCGTGTCGAGCTGTTGCTGTCGCCCCCCAGCCCGGCATGCTCCATAAAGTTGCCCTTGTGCGACTGTGTCGATGGCGAGCCCAAGGCTAAAGGCAACATGGAGCGGGACATGGGCATTAGCTCCAGCGAGCTGGAGCAGGCAGCGGCAGCTTTGCTTGTGCGTTGTGAGGGTTGCTGTTGTTGTCGCTGCTGTTGTTGTTGTTGCTGCGACTGCGGCTGCGGCTGCTTTCTTTGCTTCATATCAACAATTTCTATTTCTTCTATATCACTAAAACTATTTAACTGTTTCAACAAATAATGCACATCATTTCGTTTCGTTTGATCAGCTGCGTCGTGCTGTTGTTGTTGCTGTTCGAACATTGCCGCCGTCTTGGTTTTTATAGTGTCTAGTGCTTGCAATGTTAATGGAGTGCTAACGACGGCAATGCCACGCGGGAGGTTGTCGATTTGCCGCAACTCGTGCTCCTGCTGCTGCTGATGTTGTTGTTGTTGTTGTTGTTGTTGCAGCTCTGGATAGGCCAGCGCAAGGCGTTGCTGCAGCGTGGCGCTGCTGAACGCGGATGAGGCGCGATGTGGCTCCAGTTTAGCAGAGTCGAGTATGCGATTGAATTTAGCTAATGCGCTATTGGATGCTGTTGATGAGCTGGTTGCTGTTGTTGTTGTTGCGGTGATCTTATGTCTTAGTTGTTGTTTGGTTTGAGGCACTGTTGTGACGGTTTGTATATTATCACCAACACGGCGATGCCCACTGCCCTGAGCATCAACGACATCCGCGACGCTGTCATCCTTCACCTGATCGTCATCATCATCGTCGTCGTCGTCGTCGCAGACATCCTCATCAACATCATCAATATCAACGCCATCCTGCAGCGTTTCGTTAACATTTAAATTTAAATTCAAATGCAAACGCTGCCGCAACAGCAAACGTTGCGTTTTCGTATCGATGGGCAACACAGCGCCTGGTGGCGCCGGCGCCGCAACGGATGCAGTTGCTCCAATTAGACCACGACCAGCGGCAATTACGACCGCCGCTCGCTGCTGTGCGGTGGCTCTAGCTAAATTCTTTTGTAGTATCAACTTCCTCGACGAAATGATGCCATTATTGTCGCTCCCCCGCGATTACCGGCTGTCGCGGGTGGAGCGAGGCCGCCCCTAACTGGAGGTGCTAGCAATCGGCGAGACGGGTGACAGCGGACTGCGTACGGCCTGTTCGCGCGGACAGCCGGTCAGCGTGATGACCAACTTCCGGCTGCCGGCCTGATCGCGATGCTCGCACAGCCAAACGCCCTGCCAGGTGCCCAGCGAGAGTTTGCCATCGGTAATGGGGATTGTCAGTGAGCTGCCCAAAAAGCAGGCCTTCACGTGTGCGGGCTGAAAGGCAATAGGCAAATAGGTTAATTCAAGTAGTTTGCAAATTTCTATACTAGAGCCCTGCATCAGTTAATTCGATTGCAACAAATAAGCTCCGACTCGAGCTAAACAATGTTCGATGGAATGATTCATCAAACCCGAACACAACATGTTCGATCTAACAATGTTTCTGTTCGATCTGACTCAATTGTCTGCAACTCGAACAGCTCGAGCCGAAACAATTTGTGTCTTGACTCGCTCGACCCAAATAATTGTTCGAATATCCATAATGCATTTTCGGTTAACTTGATGCGGTACTCTAAACTAAACACGTCAAGTATAGCTACCATATCGTCGGGTCCTTCGCACGAATGCCTGTAGGGCAAACCTTCGGGAACTATTTTATTCAACATCATTTCCATATCGTCTCTGTAAAATTGAAAAGCATATTTATACATATATATATAGATGTTAATTCGATTTAACGCGCATGTCTATGGCTCACCTGACGTCTGGATCCCAGCTCTCGTTTAACGCTAAACTCGCCGAGGTGTGAAGTACTGTAAACATGATGAAAGAAAAAACGAATTGAGACAAAGTGAATGCGGCGTCAATTAAATTGTTAATTAATCTTTAAATCGCTAGCCAAATAACTGAATAATAGACGCCCAGTTATTAGACCATCACGAGGGCGGGCCAAACCCCCCCCCCCCCCCCCCCCACACACACACACACACTCACACAATCCATTTCCAATTGAGTTGCAACGCTAATTAACCAAAATATTTAACACGAATTTTAATTATAAACGTTTGTACTTTTCTTTTCTTTTTAATAAGTTTTGAGCACGATGCAAAAGCTATTATCAATCAACTTTAATTGAATATTTTTGCACATGTTATATGACAAGACAATGTTATGGCTGCTAAGTCTGAGGTTGGTTATAAAAATGGAAATTTTTTGGTTGACTTCCATTGAGCTGCATGTGTAAATGCATTTAAATCAGGGCTGCCAAAGAAAGTTTAGTTCTGTTCATAATTTGAAACAGCACCCTGCTTTTAGGTAAGGCTCATTAGACGGCATTTCTAAGTCCATGATCATAGGTTTTCTTTTATCTCTTCCATATAATATTTAAATATAAATGAAACGAGAAAGTACGTCTATCTTGAATTGCTTGTAGACATTTGCCATAAGGTTTTACAGATAAAAAATCAGAATAGTAAAGCTCTTTAATGCTGAGTTTGATGAAAATATCTTGGCAACAGAATATCTTTCCATACCAAAACTTATTTTTCGATCGATTCTTCCTATATTGCTATATAATATACTAACATGATACTATTAAGATTTGGCTCATGAATAATAAGCATAGTTTAACTAGTACATGCCAAGTTTTGTGTAGATATTTTCAAAACGAAAAAGTTTATCTTACAAGAACCTACTTTTCGACCGATCGTTCCTATGGCAGCTATATCATATAGTCCGATGTTTATAAGATTTCGTAGCATATATGAGAATCATACTGAGCATATAAATGCCGGGCTTGGTCAAGATATTCTTATAAACAAAAAAGCTTTTCATATAAGAACTTAATTAATAGTACGATGTTGATAAGAGTAAGCATATACATATATGAGGAACATATTAGATCTTATAAATGCCGAGTTGAAAACCCCAAAAAGTATTTTATACAGGAAGTTAATTTATGAACGATCTTCCTATGGCAGCTCTATGATATAGTTGTCCGATCCGATATATGTACTGCATTTAACCGAAAGATGGACCTATAAAAATTTTCAAGACGATAAAACTGAGAGACTATCCCGCATAGAAACAGATAGTCGGACAGACAGACATGGCTATATAAACTCGGCTGCTGATCTGCTGCTCATCTAGAATATATGTACTTTAATGGGTCGGCGATGTCTTCTTTATGACAAAATCATAATACCCTCTACAAGGGTATAAGGGTGCAATTTTTTATTAATACTTTATAATTTACAATATCCAATTTTATTAATCTTTGCGATTTAACAGCTGAGCGACGTTACTTTTAATATCTAAACAGTCACTTTAACAGTTTTAGCTTAACATAGCTCTTTAACAGTGTCACTTTAACAGCGTGGCTTAAGCAAGCCAAAGGTCTAACAGTATCCAGCTAATTTCTTCAACTATTCATAGAAATATATAATTTAAAATTATAAGAAATGCAACGATAAATGAAAATAATGAAACTAGGTATGGATATAAATTCTTTGTATTTCATCAATCAATCATTCATCATTCCGATTGATGGCACATTTTATTCCCAAGTGCTGTATGCTGCTATTCGAAGGCAATAAAATTGACTAAGAAATTCGCCACCCAATTGAGTAAATTTCCACAAAAATTGTTTGACATGGCGCAGACCCAGTTAGAGACCTTTGACTGTTGCTTTTTGCCTGAACATGACCAATTCATGTCTTGTTTGACTTTGCGGCATTTCGACAAATATTTCAAAGCCTACTTATTTTCGAACAACCCCGCTCTCTCCACACTAAAAAGGACGGTTGGGCAATTGGCCGACTGCCAGCAGAGAAGCGACGAAAGTTGAAATTGAATACTAGTACTTAAAATCATTTAGTGTTAATAATAAATAGAGCAATAGAGCGCTCTTAAATTTTGCACACTAATTGCATATTCATGAATAAAAGAGTTGACAACAAACGAGAGTGGAACGCAGCGCAAATTAGTTTATTATCAAATCCCAGAGATGTCATTTCAGGCCCCCAAACGCTCCACATATTTAAGAGTGTATGTGTGTGTGTGTGTGTAAGTGTGTGTGTCTCTGTTTGTGTTTATCAAAGTTTAGGTTTCAAGATTTTGGAGGCCTTGCTAAATAATTTCCGAAAAAACGATTATGTCATGTTGGACATGTGTAAATGGGCAAGAGGAATTTTAATGTATCACAGACAAGCAGAAGATTGCTTTAGTTGGAGATGACAGACTGGGGGATACCCTGTACTGCCTACAAGCTGTCGTAAAAGGCACTCGGATTATTGTATTACTTGAATATAGTTCACCTCATCTCAACTCTGGACTATGGAAAATTCTTACAGAAAAATTTGTTGTAGGTTTTATCACAGCATTATGACATTTTTAGGTCTTGTTTAGAGTTTTTTATAACTGACATATTTCTTAATTATTGAAGCTGTAAAATAACCTATATAGCATATTTTGTGTCTTAAGATATTATAATCTCTGAGTTAAGGCAAAAAAGGGCAGGGTAGTAATTCGATATTTATCGATTTTAGAAAAGTACGACAAGTCATCAACAACAATTATTCTTTTGCAATTAATTTTCATTTTGTATCGTAGACGATTTGGTGCATTCGAAAAATAGTCAAAAACCCGAGACTAAGCTGAAACCGATATTTATCGATTTCTGGAAAGTGAAATCCGTTCTTAATTATAATCAGTTACTTGAAAGAAACTTTCCTTTTATATCGTTGCCAATTTTGTGCATTCGTAAAGGTCAAAAAACCAAGCCCGCATCAAAACCGATATTTATCGATTTCAGGTAAATAAAAAGAGTTATTGATAAATCAGAATAAATTCTCTATGAGCCTTATTGCCTCATTCTAGCTGTTACATACATACGGGGAACAACATTATAGCCCCTTTTAATGCTTACAGGGTATTACAAACAAAACGAACAGGCAAATAAAGAGACAGATTGCGGCAGCGTCAGGATGACAGAGAGAATGAGGGTGGGGGGAGGGGGTGATAAACAAGCCCGAGGCAAAATCTCAAATGGACAAGCGGACATTGCAAATGAAAATGAACTCAAAACTGACAGCCAAAGGCAGCAGCCAGCCCCGCACAAATTTGCAAATTGATTTCGGCCAAGAGCTGCTGGCCAGATTGAAGAGGAGGCACGGCAAGAGGAGGCGGCCGCAATTAGTTGACGCGGCTGAGGCTGTGTTTCCGCCAGATCGGGCAGGTACACATATATAAATATATACATATTCTCTATGTAACTGTGCCAACTATAAATATGTTAATGCGTTAACATAATTGTGCGTGTCTCCGTGTCGCGGCCTTCGAGTGGCTAAGAGAGCGAATTCACTCTCTCTCACTCAACTGACACTATTTTCATGCCACAACAAACGACAGGGGGGAGAAGGGGCAGGTGGGGGTTGCAGCTTTAATATGATTTTGCTATGTGCTGGGAGGGGGGGGGGGGCGCAGGGGTCTTCATGTTTGCGAATGGGCAGATGTGCCTAAGGAAACACATGCAGGCGCGTATCAGTGGCAAAAGCCCAGAGTCCGTTTTAATACACTGCAAAAAGCGGGCAGCATTTGAAAATATGATCAACGTTTTTATGATCAATGTTTAGTTAAAAATTTTAGCATTGAAGCAAATAGTTTTTAAGGCTTTTTCATATTTATTTCATATATGTTTTGTGGAATGGGAATCTTGAGCATAATTATATCTGATTTAGGCATATGCCAATGAATTGATAGATAGATATATATTAAGGATATATTTTTGCTATCAATGCCTTCTTTTTAAGTTTCAATACTTGGATTTTTGAATAAAATTCTTTAAAGAATAATTTAAATTGCCTACACATAAAATCTTATATATTTTTATTAAAATTGTTTCAGATGCAACTTTATGATATAGCCATAGAAATATTTGTGAACAATTTTAATTTGGGAAAGTGCCGTTTGTTCGAGTGTATACTGTATAGCATGTACAGTGTTCGGCATAAATATTTTGACGAGACAGATTTTTATACATTTTTTTAAAAATATTTTTCAAGTAAGTTTCCCTTACACCACACCACGCTATAAGTCTTAAGTATTATAATTATCCCTTCCACAAGATCCTTTACAAACATTTTTAATTTGAAAACGTTATTTTTTTCAATGTGCAGCGCATTTTCTTGCAGTGTAGCGCGCATTCATTGAGTGGCAGCTGGCGTTCTGTTGACTGCAGAAATGTGGCGGCAAGGGGTGTACAAGTATGTGTAAAGACACACATATGCATGCGTGTATATGTGCATGTGAGTGTGAGTAGGAGTTGGATGTGAAATTTCGAGTGACTGTTGTTGTTGTTCTTCTTCTTCTTCTCCTTGTTGTTGTTGTTGTTGGCTTCTCACATTTAGCGGCGCGTTTAGGCACTACAAAAGTTGCTAATGTTTTTTAAAAGGGGCCCTTTTTTATTATACAAAGTCAAACATTCTGACAGCATAAGCAGCACACACACACGCACGCAAAACCGCAATACACACACACACACGCACGCACACACACGCACACATACAGGCACAAGCGTCTGCTGCAAATGCTGAACAATGGGACTGCGGCTCGCTTGTGCTTCACATTCATTCATATATGCATGTGCATACATAAGTAGCAATTGTGTGTGTGTGTGTGTGTAGTGTAGTGTGTGCATATTACATGATATAGCGCAGCACAAAACGCTTAAATACATCAACCTTATTACCCAGCGCGTTGGCAACATTTTGTGGTCAAGAGCTGAAGGCAGAAGCTACCGAAAAAAAAATTTGTA